ATTGGGCGCTTTCCCGCCTCCCCCTTCTGGTCCGTAGGTCGATTCTCCGGCCGCAAGTCGAAGCAAAATTTTGCGGCCGGAGAAGTCCGTAGGTCGAAAAGTTCGTAAGTGGAGACGTTCGTAAGTCGAGACTCCACTGTATCTGTGAAGGATCAGCTTATTTCTTTCTTCTGTTCCTTCCCAATGTGATACATTCTGAATGCCACTCTTCCACCAGTCAGGTGGAAAACTCATATTGCACAGTTTACTACAAACTATGCTGATATGGGTTCTAGCCCACTTACGGGGCAAATAATTTATGAGGGAGCATGAGTGGCTAAAGTATGACAGCCTTCCAACATGGTCAGTCATTGTTGTATTAAGAAGGAAAGCAGAAGCATATTTGATTCTGTGTCTGTAGCAAGAATGTGAAGAGAGACAGTGGCTTTCATTCTGAAGGTGGGGGAGGGGGAAGGTCTGTTTTACATTTCAAGAACTATGTCCTCAACTTTCTACATACATTTTACAATATCTTGTACTATTAGGAAAGTGTGTCGCCATGGCTGTTGTAGCAATCAGTTCCTTGTAGTAGAACTCCCACAGTGGTATCCTGCTTTTAATTTCTGGGTTAGTTTTCTTTGCAAAAAAAAAAAGAAAAGAAAAAAAAAGCAGTATTTTGTATAGTCTTCTGCTGATTCCACAGCATGCTGACAACTGGTTTGTTTTTCCTTGTCTTAAAGAAATTCTTCACTTTTGATGCAGCTAAAATGTTGGTGTCAGGAGATTGTTGATGACAAAACTAAATAGCTGCTCTTCTGGAATGTGGTTTCTGTATAGCGTGCCAAGTGGAAGTGTATGTTTGGCCACTTGTATTAAAGCAATATTAAATACAGTGTTGCCTTGCTTGACGAGGATAATTCATTCCGTTCAAATTGCTGTTAAGCGAAATCCTCGTCAAGCGAAATTTAAAAACCCATTGAAATGCATTGAAAACTGGTTCAATGCGTTCCAGTGGGCGAAATACCTGCTCATTTTGTGAAGATCCTCCATAGGGTGGCCATTTTCCGGTGTCTGTAAAGCGAGGAATCCGTCCTAAAGCACAGTGGGGAGCCATTTTGCACAGCGGGCGGCCATTTTAGAGCAGTTAATCAGCTGTTTTAAAATAATCGTCTAGCGAAAAATTGGTTCCCGAAGCAGGGAACCGATCATCGTTAAGCGAATTTTCCCCATAGGAACATTGTTTTGCGATCGCAATAGCAATCTCAAAAATTTCATCGTAAAGTGGATTTGTTGTTTAATGAGGTAATCGTTAAGCGAGGCACTACTGTACAGAAGTGAAAAAGTGGTTAAAGATAAAGAATGACTATGGCAGCAATTAATCAGCAACTTCAAAACTGAACTAGTAGCTCTAAGGGCCCAGGAGAATAAACATTATATTGTTTGTTGTTGTTGAACTGCGATTTTTTCAGAGAGTTTTGGAACTATAGTTCATATAGTAGTTCCTTGCTAAAAGGATATAGCACTAGCTTCAGTACTCTCCCATTCAAAATTCAAATTAGTCTAATAGAAGTTTGTTTGGGTTGACAGATGTGTTCCCCTCATCTTTCCATGTCTTGTATAACAGAGCAAAAATGTCAGCTGCTTTGCATTAAAAGCACACAGTAAATCAAATATTTCTGGAACAGTGACCTCTAAAAATGCAATCCTAAGATTCATTTCTTTCAAAGTAATGTAGGCTAAAAATATGGACTTTGTGTAAGTAGGAATACCAATCTTTTCACTTGGTACGTGCTGGAAACAATTTAGTTGTTTATTCCTTTGATAGAATCTGTTCGCATTGGCTGGGGATGAGGAGCCTGAAGTACGTAAAAATGTATGTCGAGCCCTGGTAATGCTGTTGGAAGTTCGAATGGACCGCTTACTTCCTCATATGATTAGTATTGTTGAGGTAACCTTTTTTTAAATGTATTTAAACACAAATGCAAATACAAGTTTGCTAGTATTAAAAGAATGGGTGATCGCTAAAATTAGAGTAAATGCTACATTAGTTTTCGTCTGTACACACACATATACATCAAATTCAGAAGTTGTACTCTCAAAAAATCAGAGTAAGCCTTCAACAGACATCTATTTCTGCTGTAAACTAAATATGGCTTACAGCAAGTTAAATACATTGTTGTGGTTTATTGAAAATATTTTGTTCTGTAATGCGAGCTCTTTGTCCACTCACTGTCATCTATATGAAGACTTAAACACATCTTGCAAGTCTAATACTTTGCTAAGGATTAGGAAGGAAACACAAATAGCTGAAGAAGATTAGGTGCTGTTCACGTGTCTGTATATTTTCTCCATGTGTTTCCTTGCAGGAGTGTTGAACGTTTTGGCACTTTAGAGTTTTGGACAACAACTCCCACAGTCCTTTATCAATGGCAATATATATTGAGTATTGTTGGAGTTGTAAACCCAAACATCTGTAGCCCCAAAGGATTGATTGCATGAGAAACCTCACTGTGATCTCAACTATACATGCATATAGCCTGCAATGACCAACAATCATTTCTGCAATCACAGCAGTACTATATCCAGCCATTGGAGATGACGGGGAAAAGGAATGGCTGTTTGATATATATGAACCAGCCCAGGTTGAACATGCCCCTTTTCAAGCCTGGAAATACAGGACTAGGTGGTAGCCAAACAGTCTGTAAACTGATATTATGATCCTGCGTGTTTTCAGATTACCACCCTCGCAGCAAGATACTTATAGCATTTGCTGGCTAAATAATAAGTCAGGAGAACTTTGAATCTATGGAAAGCAGAAGAAGTCTAGAGCAGGGGATTGGGGAATGTTCTTTGACAGCACAGACATGGTTCTTTTGAAAATCTGAGTTTGAATATCAGTCTCTTATTCTGATGAGACAGTATGTACAAGGTAGAAAGAATTAATGGGAGTGTTCATGGTTAGCTTACACTTTCAGTGAGCAGAATTCAGAGGGGTGATACATGTAATCCATAGTTTGACTCATGATACTGTTTTAATTGCCCCACATTTATAAAGGAACTAACATTTGTATCTCTTCCTTGGCATTTTGTGAAGTATATGCTACAAAGGACTCAGGATCAAGATGAAAATGTGGCTTTGGAGGCTTGTGAGTTCTGGCTCACTTTGGCTGAACAGCCAATTTGTAAAGATGTGCTTTGTCGGCATCTTACCAAGTAAGTGGATGTTCCCTCTCATATTGGAACAACATGTTTGGAATTATTTGCAATTTCACCTCAGTGTCTCTCTCTTTTTTAAAATTATTATTATTTTGGTATGGATTTTGCAAATATAGTCAAATTGTAATGTGTGCACCTGTGTTAGTTGGGTCAGTTCTTCTGCTTTGGCAGCAGGGTAGCTGAGATGGAAGGAAGACATGGGTCGATTTGTTTACCCAGCTTTGGGTGCATACCTCCTTCTTTCTAGCAGTATATATATTTTTGTCTGATATATTTTTCTTTTTCTTATTTCTAAATTTCTCTCATATATACATATGAAACTTAGAAATTCACTGTAAACTGCTGTCCTAGAGGTTCTGAAGTGATGCACCTTCATCCCCTATGACGTATTAGCTGACCTACTCACAGAAGGCTTCAAAAGATATGTTTCCTGAGAAGCTCCATGTTTTTGTTAAAGGATGAGGAGAATATTATTGCAGTTTTTTGAAAGGTTCAGTTTGCATAGCTCTTAAAGTTGTGGTTAGAGATAGGGGTATTTGTATTTGTATACAAATACAAATGTCCCCGTGCAGCGGGACATAACTCATCCTCCCTTCCCCTGCCTGGAGTGCCTAGCTGAGCGGGAAGAGAGCGTCGCTCTGGGAGTGATTGGAAGGAAGAGCAAGGCTGCTTCCAGACACGTGAGCAAGTCCAGCTGTGTGGGGATATTCCCATCTCTAGTTGTGATTATAAATGTCACTACAGAACTTTATTGAGAATCAAGCTTTTGGAAAGAAAATAGAATCTGTTAGAAATATTTTTTATGTCTTTCATAATATTTAGATCTTATAACATCTCTGTCAGATGTTAAGAAGATACTGATGCTGTTTTGATGGCAAAAATCCTCTTACGTGGTTATGCCAGTATAACACTAATAGTGTAACTTACAGAGGTGAATTGCTTCAGCTTAAGAAATCAGTGAAGATACATACTGTCTTGTGCACTGAGTCACACAACTCGGTTCACAACAAACATTGTCTGCAGTGATCTCTTAAGTTGAGACAATTCACCTCTAAAAGTTACCCTGTTAGTATTATGCTGATGTAAATGTACCACAAAAATATAAATATAGCTGACATAATTAATTATAACTGTATGTGTATCATTTAGGCTGCAGTTCAAATCAACACTGTTTCCTTCACTATGGTTATGTGTTGGAACAGCATGGTCTCTTATAAGTGTTCATTGGTTTGGATGGCATGAAAGAGACTCATGGTATCACCTCCTGCTGACTGTTTTGCTGTGAGCAGTTTGCATTCAACAATCTAATGAAGTCCTTTTTCTGTAGGTTGATACCTGTTCTAGTAAATGGTATGAAATACTCAGAAATAGATATTATTCTTCTGAAGGTAAGTATAATTTTATTTTGCCCTCTTATTAAAGGAATGCTGCTTAATTGCCTCTGAAATTTAATACTCCTACACATATGTAGCATATTGTAACTGTTTTAGATTGTAATCTTGTACTCATTTGTTTTGGAGGAAGTAAACCATACTGAACTTAATTTGATTTGCAGCTGCATAGGTAAGCATAGAATTGCATTCTTAGCAGCCCATGGAAGCTTAATCAGAGCTGGCCCTACTGTTAGGTAGAGCAAACCAACTTCCTCAGATGCTGGGGTGGCAGCAGCACCACCCCCTCACTCCATTTTTTAAGAGTGTTTCTCTCTCTCTCTCTTTCTCTCTCTCTCTGAGATGGATTTCATGACTGTGAACTACTTTGCAATAAATCAAAGTAGATATTTGTGATTATATGTTGTCAATTCCTCCATTGGTCAATTTTCATTTCAATAAAAGTACTGATTGGTGGCTTTCACTACATCTGTCCCCATTATTTTATGATTCTGTGAACTCTGGTGTGTTGAGAAATATGGAAATACGAAGAGTAATTACCGTATTTGCCGGCATACAAGATGACTTTTTTGGCCCCAAAAACATGCCACCAAGTGGGGGAGGGTCGTCTTATACGCCGGGTGCACTTCAGTTGGGCCAGGAAGGAGCCGCCGCCGCTGCCGGCAGGGGAGGAAGGCAGGCGGGCAGGCAGACGGTCGGTCCGGACGGAGGGAGGGAAGCGGAGCCGGCCATGCCTGAGCGGCCAGAGCTCCTCCTCCTCCGCTGCTCGCCTGGCCGCTTTCCCTCCTTCTTGCCCTCCTCGCAGCTGAGCCAGCCGCCTGCTCGCCCGCGCACCGCCAGAGAGCTGCTTCCCTCCTCCTCCTCTGCCGCCCCCGTCCGGCCGCATTCCCTCCTTCTCGCCTTCCTCGCAGCTGAGGAAGCCGCCCGCTCGCCCTTGCACCGCCAGAGAGCTGCTTCCCTCAGCAGAGCCATCCACTCTATATTTTGAGTGGAAATGTTGGGGGGTCGTCTTATATGCCCAGTCGTCTTCTACGCCGGCAAATACAGTAACACACTGTTTCTGGAAGTGGGAAATATTTTGGAAAAACACACTTGCTCTTAAACTTTGTCATTTGGTTTCTGATAACAGGGAGATGTTGAAGAAGATGAAGCAATCCCAGATAGTGAACAAGACATTAGGCCCAGGTTTCACCGTTCACGGACAGTAGCACAGCAGCATGAAGAAGACGGTATTGAAGAGGATGATGACGATGACGATGAGATGGATGACGATGACACAATTTCTGATTGGAATTTAAGTGAGTCAAATTGTGATAAAAATGTTGTAGATTCTAAATTACAGTGTCCCGTGTTTTCTGTATGCTTTATGTGTACGTTTCTCACTTCAACAATGCTGGAGTTAGGGGCACAGGACCCCCATGCAGTTCAAAATCTTTGCATAACTGTTACACTCCCAAAATGTAACTGCAAAGCATAAACAGTTGATTCACACAAACAAACACACATCCCCCTTCCTCAACCCACATCAACTTGCCTGGCATGCCCCAGCACCCTTCTGGGTTGCCACATGGAGCCGTCATGATAGGAAAGGAGCTGACTTGGGCCTCCACCATTAAACTGGGGCCACTGCACTTGCCAGCAACAGGGCCCTAGGTAAGCGTCAGGCCGTCCTTTTTCAGGCCACATTCTGGAGATGAATAGCAGTATAGTGTTGGTTTATTACTATTAGTATTTAAAAAATGTATAACCAAAACCATGCCGCTCAGATCCATGCAGTTCAAAGGAGAGGTGTATTCAAGAGTTATTCTGAAGAGATGATGAGCTTTTTTTGAGCAATTGTTGGTTTTCTTGGCTTGGTTTGGTTTTTGTCAGTTTTAAGTCTTTTTAATCCTCTTCTGTGCCATGATTTCTTGGTACCTCAGCTTGTCACCTCTGACCTGCTGCTCCGTTGCCAGTCTCAATTTCCTAACTGAAATGTCTGTCACAAGTGTACCGATTTGTTATTTTTAGGGAAGTGTTCAGCTGCTGCCCTTGATGTCCTTGCCAACGTATTCCGCGATGAATTGCTGCCACATATTTTGCCCCTCCTGAAAGAATTGCTTTTTCATCCAGAGTGGGTAGTGAAAGAATCAGGCATCCTAGTTCTAGGAGCAATTGCTGAAGGTAAGTCAATGTTTGTGTCACAAGTTTGAATGATATTAATAATACTTGTTTAAATAGCAGGGGTGGGGACTCAAGTTGCAGGACTCGCTGTCAAGTCAGACTTAAGTCGTACCTGTGACTCGACTCAAGTTTTCTTTTTTAATGACTTGGGCTTGACGTGACTCAGAACCCACCCACCCCTCCCTTTTTTTTCTGGGGAGGGGAAGGCTTGTTTTTAATAGAGACTCGGACTTGGGACTTGGTTCTAAAGACTCTTAACTCAGACTTGGGACTCGGACCCAAAGACTTGCCAACATCCCTGTTAAATAGTGCTGTCAGTATAGGCTTTTTGACAGACTACTGATGTTAGTTGCTCCTGCCCCAAGGAACTTTTGGCGTAAAATAGATAGAAGGAAGGAATGGGGGCATTAGTAAATTAGACTGGAACATATGATTCCTTCAATTATGAAAGGCTTTCAGGAAATAATTATATATATTTTTGGACTTTACAGAAGTCACTAAGCACTACCTTATTTTGCAGTGGTTTATTTTTTATTTCAAGACTGATAGCTGCTCAACTATCTTAGTTCACCAATTATCCTATTTCCCCATTTCTTTCAAGTTCCTTCTCCATACTCCCTTTTCCCGAAAGCCTTTCATAATATTTTTAGAGGATCAAGGATACTCAGTGACCTCTGAAAACAAAGGAATTATTTCTATTCCTCAAAAAATGAAGAGGAAAAACCTCGAGAGAGGAGGAGGAAATTGGCATGCTTGATCCCCTGCTGGCTTACAGTGGCCAGAAGAGGGCATGTTGAGGTGGTTAGAATGCTGAACAAGAACCCTTCAGTCATAGGGTTAAGGATATACTACTGCACTTGCAGAATTAGAAAACAGTATGTTTTCTGCATACTGTAGACATATAGAATCTGTTCTATACTTATTGGATGCTACCATTTTTGTACCCATACAGGAAAGGGTACATATACAATCTGTTTTTGCAAAATTTAAGTCTTTTTAATGTTCAGATTTCTTGAATATACCAAATAGTACAGTTTCATATGCTAATTAAATCATGCATGAAGCATTAAATGTTGTTTAAGCAGTAAAATAAGTTTTAAAGTTTGATATGTTGGTACCATATATGTTTCTTCACCAAACATGTTGGCTGAAATCATGTTGCAGTTACATAAACAGAAACCTTTGGAGGAGAATTTCTATTAATGAAGAAATCTCCATAGACAGTATCTGTTGCATATTGAGTCATGTGACTTCAGAGATTTTTAACTTACAGGAGTTGGCTTCTAAAAATGATGCTGTCTGTGTAACTGTAATGGGATTTCAGCTAGTTTTTCATGACTTCTGCCCCTGAAAAGTTAGTTGTATTTATTTTTTCCAGGCCTTCAAAATTTACAGAAAAGTTACATTCTGAAACTCTTGTGTAGTTTGCAGCTAATTTTAGGAATGGGGGAGTGTCCGCTGACACTTGTATTTCTGTGGCAGCATCTGTGTTTGCCAGTCTCTTTTGCAAAATGCCTCTTGGAAAGAACAGGGATAGGAAAACTGGAATGGAATAGAATGGCTGGCATGCAAACTAATTGGGGGCCCCGTATGAGGCGAGGAAGTAGGTTTCTAGGGGTAGGCAGATTTCTGAGATGGTGAATGAATTTGTCTGTGAACATTGATGTACACATATACCTGTTGGTGCAGAAATATAAGAGACAGGAACAGGGCAAAATATAAAAGGTCTGTGCCCACTTTTGGCAGTTGTTCCATCTGTCTCTGGAGTGGTGCTTCCAATCACTTATCTTGTAAAGCTTCTTCACTCCTGCTGCATATATTAGACACTTCTAAATTAACAGTGATGCTGATGGTATTAATGATGGTTTAGTTCATGGTTGGATAGGTATTTTCTCAAATCATTTTGGCTACCACATTAGCATAGGGAGAAAAATGTACAGTTTTTCAAAATGCCATTCAAACAATTTTAATTTTGATCTTTTAATCCTTTGTGCACAAAATTCCATTTTCCTTATGTATCAAAGGAATCAATTCTGTCAAAACTTGATTGGATACACTAGCAGGCCAGGTACTGGCAGGCTTAACATAACCTCATTGAGGTTTCTCACTTAGGTTGGAACAGGAATTGTAGTATTTTGCAGCTTGGTTTTATCTTGGTATTTAAATGCCTGTTAAAAATCTGTTATACTGCACTCCCACAAGTGGGTGAATTGATTCACCCATCTCCATTGTTTTTTTGTATTTCGTGCATGTATGGAGGGCTAAATAAAGTATTTAAAATTTTTATCATATTCTTACAGGTTGTATGCAGGGTATGATCCCATATCTTCCCGAGCTAATCCCTCACCTTATTCAGTGCCTCTCTGATAAAAAGGCTCTTGTGCGCTCCATTACTTGCTGGACTCTTAGCCGCTATGCACACTGGGTAGTAAGTCAACCCCCAGACACGTACTTGAAGCCATTAATGACTGAATTGCTAAAGCGTATCCTTGATAGCAACAAGAGAGTACAAGAAGCTGCCTGCAGGTATGTGACAACTGTGAAAACTTAACCTCTGATCTTTTAAGCCCATTTTTCATTGTGTTAACAGTATTTGGTGATCATTTGGTTTTGTTGAACTGGTCTTTCCTAACCTTGTTTTATAATCCTGTTAGTAATTTATGTATTTATTTGTTTTATTTATATGATGCCTTTCTCCAGATAAGGGAACCCAAGGCAGTTCACAATATTAAAAGGAATAAGACTTAAAAACATTAAAAACCAATTAAACTAATTAGAATACAATTGAATAATTAAAAGCAACTGAACATTAAAAATTGTCAGAGCATAAGTGTTCCTCAGATGGAATGCTGCACCATTCTCAAGCAGTTTACACTTATGTAAGCCAAATACCATCACAACAGGATTGTAGTGCACACAGAAAAGAATAATAGGATTCTGGCCAGGCATTTTGAAGAGTTTGTCTTCTAAGTGTCTTTGCTCCTATACCTTTGATAATCTTTTTTAAAAGGAATTATGTTAAGTATAGTTAGGAAACCAAATTCTGTTCTAGGCAACCTAATCCACCTTTTAGGTAAAACAATTGGTGTAAAAGAAAGTGTGTGTACTTTTATCATTCTGCAGACTGAATGTTTGTTTTGCTCCTTAGTGCCTTTGCTACTCTAGAAGAGGAGGCTTGTACAGAACTTGTTCCTTACCTTGCTTATATACTTGATACTCTGGTCTTCGCATTTAGTAAATACCAGCATAAAAATCTGCTCATTCTTTATGATGCCATAGGAACATTAGCAGATTCTGTAGGCCATCATCTAAACAAACCAGTAAGTATTGTTATCTTTTCACTTTAGATAAAGAATTCTGACTCCTGTTCACACCTTTATTACACAAGAGCAACTGTCAACATACTTTGTCTCAGAAGCTTGCCTTGTCATCCTTAAATTCCTTCAGCCTGAATTTTGCTTGCTTTATGTTAAGCACATTGGTAGTTCCATCTTCATAACTGATGTGCCACCAAACTGTAGCTCAATAGCAACCAGTAGTTCTCTCCCCCTAGTTTTCAAGGTGCTTAATTTACAATATCTCTATTGGATGGAGTGCTACATGATAGTATTCCCTTACTAGAGACCGGGGACTGAGACTTAGCAGAACCATACGTTGGCTTCGAAGGCCTTTGGAAATGGATATCGCAAGTGGAACTCTTCCAAAGTAAAGTATTTGGTAGGGTGTGCAAACTCCTTGTTAGGAAACTCCTTGCATTCTGGTTATTTGTATCAGGCACATTTGAACTCGGCCTTTTAAATTTTTTGAGGTCACACGATGGAGCGACAACCTGTAGCTTATCAAATAGACTTAGCCTCAAGAATGTGGGTAGTATTTGCTTTCTCTGTCTTCTTTCTTGAATAATATTGCAGAAATTTCATGATCTCAATGTGCTAATGTGTTCCAGCCCTATTTTAATCCTCATCCATAAAGGTTTTTTAAAATTGCATTCAGTGAGTTGCAGGATGTTTTCTAAACCCACTGAGAATTTCAGTTTTTGTCTAAGTAAGCGCAACGTAATGACAGAGTATGCCAGATCTGCTTCTTGGTATCATGGTTTGCCAAAAATAAATAAATAAATAAATAAATATTTTTTTTAAATCTTACACTGGCTGGGACAAAAAATAAATAAATATCTCAGTAGCAAAGTGCAATAGAATTTTGGAGACAATTTTTTCAAGCCTTTTTGTGTATATATAAAAAAACACCAAATTCAAGATAGCAAAAGTTTGGGGATGCTGTCCATAGAGCTGTTCAGATGACAGTATGACAAAATGTCTACATTACAGGTCTAGTTCTTTGTGACTGCTGCGCCCTGTGTGACTCTGGGAAACCAAAATGTCTTATCCTTTCATGGAGAGTTAAATAACAAGTTTGCTGTTAAAAAGATCTGATGAAAAACATAGTATTACAGTACAGTACAGTGCATATTTTCAGAAGTAATCTGGACTGAATTCACTGGAGGCTGAGTGGCACATTTAGAGTTTTAGCTCAAAATACCATGCATGTTTTTACCTCAAGGTCTTTCTTAGCTGTCAGGATAGAGCGTTTGACACCTGAAAAACTTCTTAAGAGTCCTCCCCATAGAAATTATTTTGCAAAGCACTGTTATCATGCGGTGACCTTGCTTCCAGACTTGGCTAGAGAGCTGATTGTTTTGCAGTAACTTTTAGGAAACTATCTGCTGTTCAGACCTCATTTTTACAATATAGTGAACATCATGCGGAAGGCTGGACTGGAGGAATCCCAAGCCGGAATTAAGATTGCCGGAAGAAATATCAACAACCTCCGATATGCAGATGACACCACTCTGATGGCAGAAAGTGAGGAGGAATTAAAGAACCTTGTAATGAGGGTGAAAGAAGAGAGTGCAAAAAATGGTCTGAAACTCAACATCAAAAAAACTAAGATCATGGCCACTGGTCCCATCACCTCCTGGGAAATAGAAGGGGAAGATATGGAGGCAGTGACAGATTTTATTTTCCTGGGCTCCATGATCACTGCAGATGGAGACAGCAGCCACGAAATTAAAAGACGCCTGCTTCTTGGGAGGAAAGCGATGACAAATCTTGACAGCATCTTGAAAAGCAGAGACATCACCTTGCCAACAAAAGTCCGAATAGTCAAAGCTATGGTTTTTCCTGTCGTGATGTATGGAAGTGAGAGCAGGACCATAAA